GAATTATGAAAGCTACTAAAATTTTACAAGTTATAAGTACAGGTGTGTTGTAAGATGATCTAATCTGTCAACAAGTTCTAATTAAAGATAACAAGTTCTTTTGACGCTGTAGTCCCATGGTTTAATTCAGGATGCTGTCTGTGGATATGTAAAGCTTCTTTATATAGTAGAAGCGATAATTACAATAATTACAGTAGTGTTAAGAACAATTTGAGGTAGTAGTTTTTAGGGCCTGTTCATATGATCCCGCTTACCGGGACGTCTCGCTTACCGATGATCTCGCCGCCTATCTATTTTCCTATAAAATTTTGCATTGGGTTCATATGAGAAAGCGAGCTGGCCCGCTTGCCGAGATCTCGTTTGAATTTGCCGAGATCATAGGTAGGCGGGATGAAAATTTTTCCATATGAACACGCCAGCCCGCTTACCGGGATGAAGTGAAACAAGTCTTGCCGGTTTAATTTAACACTTTTTACTTGGTTTTATGTTTGTTTTGTAAACAAGTATTAAATAACCACCTGAAGCAATACTTTTTCTTGTAAATAAACGAAGAAAAACACTAAAATCGCCAAGTATTTGTGTTGCTTGACTGAAATGTAGAAGTTTTGCATACGCTATTAATTATAGAACTACAATGTAATTTCACTCGGCAAGCGGGACGAAATACTCCATATGAACGCACGGAAATATTCGTCTCGGTAAGCGAGACGTCCCGGTAAGCGGGATCATATGAACAGGCCCTTAATGGAAATTCCGAAGAAATTCATATTTTTAATTCAACCATAATTCCTGATGATGACTCAACAGTAGTCGAAACGTTGAATTAAAAATATGAATTTCTTCGCAGTTTCCATTGTTTTGTCTTCTCATTTTGCAAAAGAACTGAATGTTATCGTATCCTTAATTAGAACTTGTTGACAGATTAGATCATCTTATAACACACCTGTACTTAGAACTTATAAAATTTTAGTAGCTTTCATAATTCCTGATGATGACTCAACAGTAGTCGAAACGTTGAATTAAAAATATGAATTTCTTTGGAGTTTCCATTGTTTTGTATTTTATTAAAGTTTACAACCGTGTTCTTTTTCTATCTTATTAAATTCATCAATAAACATCATAACTTACATAAACTTACCTAAATGATTCTTCCAATATTTAAGCCAGTTTCCAGCCAAGTGTTGTCTTGATGACACAAACGTGCCCTTGGTCCTAAAATTAAGCAATTGCCGTGGTAATTATTTAATGTATATAATCAATTATGAACTGTGGACTCTTCATGGATTTATACACCAAACTCAAACAATAGTCACAGCGATGGATGTACTGTATGCTGTTGTAATGTATCCTATTGTAATGACTCATTTAACTAAATAATACTTTCATTGACTTATAAGTTATAACCGTAATAAGCAAACTGGTAAAGCAATCAAATTTAAAAATAGGTACGCTATGCGTACATGTATCAGCACATAGTGTTGACATTTAGTTAGAACATAACAGGGTAATGTCACAAGTTATCGGAAACTCGAAAACATTTCCGCTGTAATGTCTTGGTGTAGACTATACTTCCCACTGTAGCCTGGTACCGGACGGTATCGATATCACTCAGTAATAGATAATCGCCGACTGCATATTATACCTTGTTTCCAATTGGGCAGGCACGGCTCGTTCTAAACTTGTACTCTTCACATCCTTACGAGATTCCATGTCTGGCGAAAAACTTTCTGAATCAAAAGCCTTCTTCTCCGTAGCATTTGGCGCGGGTTTAACTTTTGATGTTGCGTGTACTGTCTCAGTTTCCTCGTCTGATAATACAAAGACTGGTTGAGAAGTTGGGGACGTTGTGTGGTTAGATAGCGCTTCGTCTACCGAACAACATAACTGCCATATCATGTCGTAGTTTTTATCTAAAGTTGCCGACATATATGTGTCACCGAGAGACTTACAAAGCAGAATGTACGCATTATATGCTAATGATGCAGTGAAAGTCTCGCGTATCTCGTTCGCGCAAGGTTGTTTCCTGGAAACATCCTTTCCTGTCTCAGTGGGAGAATTACAAGACTCAAAACATGAAAAGAACGTGGCAATCAAAGGTGCAAGAAGGTCCTGGGCTGAACCCCGCTCAAAAATATCGCACACAACTTGAAGAATATCCAGAACAAGTAACGCAAGGAACGTTCTAGCGGGCGCCTCGCTTGCCAAGGTTATCGTTGCAGATGATATAAGGCACAGGACTTGGTCAACAGCTTGATAACATAGCATCTATAAAATGATAAAGTTAATTAAATAAAGTGCGACTAACCACAAACACGATTTTTGGTATTTTTGATTTTTGGTATGATATTTGGGTCATTCGAAGACGAAATGTAATATGTATTTATAATAAAAAATCCCATCTTGATCAACTTTTCACTGTCAAAGTTTGGGGATATGATGTCATTAGGTGAATTGCAAATTAGTTTTCCTTTTTTTTTTGTACCAAAAATTCACTTAATGACATCATATCCGGAAACTTTGACAGTGAAAAAATTGATCAAGATGAGGTTTTTTACTATAAAGATAAATTACATTTCTTCTTAGAATGACCCAAGTATTATACGCATACCAAAAATTATATTTGGGTTTAGTCGCACTTTAATATAATGATTAAAGCATTGTATTTGCATTAGAGAGGGACAGGCAGTGAAGTCTATGTAAACTGGAACGCTAACTCCAATGATAAAGCCTACGATTCGCTGAAAATAGTTTTTCTACGTTTTGAGCTGAAATACTTGATCCCAAACGTTGGGCTATATATCCAACTGAAGCTATTAAAAATTGTTATTCGGTGTGAAAATTTCAAGACTTCAGCGAAAAGAAGAATATTTAAAAAATATAAAAACAACTGCCATTCGGCCAAAAAATGGCAAATTATTGGCAATTATTTTTGCAGTTTTTAAATATTTTCCTTTTAGCTAAAGTATTGAAATTTCTACACCAAATAGCGTTTTTCAATAGCTTTAGTTTCATATACAGCACAACGTTCAGTGTTAAGTATTTCTGCTCAAAACTCAGAAAAACTAAAATGCACTGGCTTCAACCCCTCACCCGAGTTATCGTTCCAGTTTACATAGAGTTCACTGGGTACAGGTTCCAGTATATGTACAATCTTACCTCAAACTGTTGCATCAAAGAATCCTTGGAAATCGAACAAATATATTGCCTGACAAGGACAAGAGCTCCTGCCAGATTGGCTTCACCTTTTACACTCACATGTTCCGAAGAAATATTGATCTGAAATTAAGCAGTATAAATGTATGTTATTATTTGCATAATAAAACTGCTGAGAAAGACGGGGACACCATCAAAATCAATAATTATTTAACATCAATGTCATATTTATTCTGACATTGAAGATTACAACCAAAAATTCGTTGTAATCTTCGAACTCTTCGAGTTCATATCTCTGAAAATGGTTCTGACTAACAAATAGATAAAATTTTGACGTTGTCTGTTCAGTTATAGATACAAAGTATTACATCAAAATGTGGGAAGTACAAAAAAGTGGCTCACAAGCCGCCGAGGCTTTATATAATAAAAAAACCCCTCGAATTAAACAGGTAAATATCTTACTTTTTAACCACCCAAACATTTGGAAATTTGAAAAAGTCGAAATTTTACAAATATCATGCGTACATAATCTATACAAACAAGGGAATGCTATTAGATAAGATTTAGTGTGACGTAATTCCGTGCGTCTGTCCTCTATAAATAGATCATGGCTTTATGAGCGAATTTAATTAACATAAAAATATACCGTATTAATGACAGCACATTACTGGCTTCATAAGTCTTACCTTGGACATGACAAAAGGCATGTATTGATGAACAATAACTGCCTCACCATATATTTCAGTACAACAAGCCAAACAATGCAAAATCCACTTAGCATTTGTATCACCGATTGACATCCCTTTATCACCCATAGCAACAACACCAACATAACATTTGACTAGCATGCCCAACAATGGTTTGATAATATGATTGGAAGCCAACAACGGGCCAAGTCTTGGGGATAACCAACAGATGCTTTCTGCTGCAGCCTCGGGAATTTCACGGTCTGATGTCTACGACGAAAGAGGATGACACGAAATTAATTCAGAAATAGAGACTGCTCGATGTCTAAAATTAACCTCGCACTATATTAACTCAAAAATCCACACGAATCATTCTGAATTTCTCGGCGCTTATTCTTGTCTTCTTACGACATTTCATAATGTTTTTAACGTTTAACGATTTAAGTTCTTTTATATTTTGGCGCCATTTTGAGGGTCAAGTCGGAAATCCGGCGGCAAATGCCACGATGAGTGACACGATTCAACATAAACAGACTGCTTGTTTGTCCCACCGCCTCAGCAAATAAAGGCCGTTTTCCACTAGGCGGAATTTTCCGCGCGGAGGGGAATTTCTCTTTGTCTTTTCTAATTAGTTCCACCCGAGAAATTACAAAACAAAGAGAAATTCCGCACCGCGCGGAAAATTTCGCCCAGTGGAAAACGGCCGAGAATCGCTTTGCCAGGTAACTAAACAGGCCCTACCGTTAATAGGGCATTTGAAACAAATTGAACTCACATCTTCATCGCCTATATTTGTATCTTCTTTACCATCGTCCAAATGTTCAGAATGAAAGGAAACGGATCGTTCAAAACTGAAATCGGACTCGGTAACCCTTTCCCAGTCATCATCGGAGTCCCGTCGGGCTATCGTCGGAAACGACTTGTGAAAGATGGCATCATTCCTTTCGATTGTTTCCACCTCGTCATCATCTTCGTCACCAAGACGACCAGTGCCGCCATCATCATTGTACACTTCCCCACAAGAAAATTCGTCGATTTTGTAAAGTCCTCGATATTCGTCGTTCATAAAACCTTCCTGTGCACTCTCTGAGAAATAAAATACCAGTTAGATATGTCAAATTCGGAACCGCAAATTAAACCGGCTCCACTTGTTGACACGGAAGATCGTATATATGATTAGCTAGATGTGCTCGAATTCGTCTAAGGGCCTGTTCATATGGGCAAAAGTTATCCCGGTTAACGAGAAAACTTTTCGACTAGCCAAATACTTTTGTTCTGGGAGGGAAACGTTATCCCGCTTACCTCGTTTCCGGCTGTGACGTAGCATTGAATGGTAAAGTTGCTGACACACCTGTCAACAAGCGAGATCTCGGTACACGGGAAAACGTTTTGTCTCATATGAACGCAGTGTAACTTTTCATATTATTTTCATACCAAGGCAAGATCTCGCTTGTAAACTTGTCGAAAGGGTTTCTCGCAAACCGGGATAACTTTTGTTTTGCCCATATGAACAGGCCCTTTGACAGATACCTCCCTATGACGGACTTCTCTAATACGGACATCTCTCTAAAACGGACACCTCTTTAATGCGGAAATCTCTCTAATTAGCACGCCACTTTAATACTGGTACACTTCTTTAATACGCGCATCTCTCTAATACGAACACTAGCTTCTCTAATGTGGACACCTCACTAATACAGACACCTCTCTAATTAGCACGTCTCTCTAATACGGACACACCTCTTTAATAAGCACATCTCTCTAATACAAACACCTCTCTAATACAAACACCTCTCTAATACGGACACATCTCTAATACGGTCAGCTCTCTAATGCGGACACCTCTCTAATACAGACATCTCCCTAATTAGTACGCCTCTCGAATACGGGCACGCTTGTTCAGTAAACGCTTCTCTCTATTATGGACACTAGCTTCTGTAAAGAGGACACCTCTCTAATACATACACCTCTCTAATTAGCACGTCTCTTTAATACGGACACACCTCTTCAATAAGCACATCTCTCTAATACAGACACCTCTCTAATATAGACACATCTCTAATACAGACAGCAGCCTAATACGTCCGGACACCTCTCTAATACAGACACCTCTCTAATACAGACACCTCTCTAATACAGACACCTCTCTAATACAGACACCTCTCTCTAATACAGACACCTCTCTAATACAGACACCTCTATAATACAGACACATCTCTCATACAGACACCTCTCTAATACAGACACCTCTCTAACACAGACACCTCTCTAATATGGGTACTCCTTTTTAATAAGCATAACTATCTAATACGGTGTCTGTATTGGGAAAGATTCAACTTCTTACATAGCTATCTTAGCTATCTCTATATACCTGTCGTTGCATATACACTCGTGCTCCGTGCACCATTAGTGGATTCATCACTGGAAGTTTCTACTAAATCACTCTTCCCTTCCCCAAATACTCTTTCAGAGTCTGTGTTTTCTTTTTGTTCCTCGCTGTAATCTTTACGTATCTCCTGGGACATTTCAAAGACTTTGTCAACTGATCCATTAGATTCGCTGTACGTTTGACTTTCACTTTCTTTATTCAAATAAAGAGAGCGAGAGATGTGTAAAAAAATTGTTGTTCGAAGCGTGCTGCAATTTATTCTTTCTTTTCTTGGTGGTTCTAACTACAACTACATAAAGTATTTAAAAAGTACCTGCAAACCGTGTGCGTGAAAAAAGCGAAACAAGACATGATGAGATATGAATTACCATATCGGCTGACCCAGTTCAGTTCTTAATAACTTGCGGATTTTCGACAATGAAATTAACTACGATCGATAGTAATGAGTAAAGTTATTTGCCCATAACTTGCAGTTGTGAGTCTTAGATAGGATAGGACAGAATGATAATAATGGCCGAAATCTAGTATTTAATTGTACTCTGAAGATTTTAACTTACAATTGCGCTAATTATCAAAGGTTTTAATAGACTAAGAATAATATAAAAAGATACATTTTTCAATATCTTCTGTTTCTAAACGTTCTAGAAACTGTATCTTCTAGGAACTTTTATCGTTTCATTATTTTCAAGGCTCAATACTGGGGCCACTTCTATTTCTTTTATATATATAAACGATATTCAGAACTGTTGCAATCTAGTCTCCAATATATTATTTGCAGATGATACAAATATTTTCTATAGTCATTCTTGCTTAAAAGAGTTGAACTTAATCATGCAAGATGAAATAAATTAGCTGACTGGATTGGAAACAATAAACTATCATTGAATACAGCTAAAACAAAACTTATCTTGTTTAGATCATCAAACAGACTAAACATGACATCACAATTTCGATAAACAAACAGCCAATATAAAACAAGTTTAATAAAAACACAACATTTCTAGGTGTTATTATTGATGAACACTTAACTCGGAATGATCATATTGATTCAATTACGAAAAAAGTTATAAAATCGGCGGGAATAATACTATCTAAAATTCGACACTTTACAAATTTAAACACACTAAAATGGTCTATTACGCTTTAGTTTATCCTTATTTGATGATATACAAAAACTTAATTTGAGGAAATACCTATAAAACACGGCTATAAAAAATAGCAGATGTGCCAACGTAAAAAACCCCCACGACATTTCCAATTGGCTTAGAGCGAATAAAATACGGTGGTGCAAAACCTTAGTACTAACCTGGTTCTTTCTCAGGTCGACTCAACTGGCGTTCAGCATCTTCAACATTACATTCGTCTTGTGGTTCTCTTTTGTCATTCTGAGCGAGTCCCTTATCATCCTCCAGTACAACACCTTGTACTTCATCTTGACTATATGTATCAACATTCACCTGAAGGGAAAATGTTTTCTTAAAAATCATTAGAGTAATGACAGTGGGGGAGTGCTAATCATCATGCCGTGCAAATAAACATCTTATTCATTGGTAGTCGACTGATCAAAGAATGAAAGTAACCAACCGTTTGCCTTCTGGAATCACTTAAGGTCATTCTTATTCCAGCTTGTCCACATTATGGGAATTTAAAATATTTTAATACTTTTAGAAGGAGATTTTAAAATAAATGCCTACCTGGCTGCGCTTTATGAGAAATGAAAATGTTTTGAATTTGCTGTTTTGTGACAAGGTGATAAATCGGTATCGCCACCGTACGTGAATCAAGAAGGCAAACAGTTGAACATTTTAATCAGTCCAATATCAACATGTAGAAACAATACAACCATTGTTTCATCCAGTTTAAAAATCTGAAAATTCTATTAAAGATAACACTCTAATACCAAGAAGAGGGCATTGTTTTGGGACACCGTGTACAATTGCATGTTAAAACTAAAGAGCGCACTCGGAGACTCAATATCATGCATAAATTATACAATGCGCTAATTACGCTGCGCTAATTACGCATTCACTTTACTCTGCCCGGCAAAGCAAAGGCAAACTGTTACAAATTCCTCATCCAATATTCGTCCACATTTAACCAAAATTTAATCCATTTGTCCTTGGGAAATGTCCAGCCTGTGTCACATAAGGTCTGTGACAAAGGGCAATGTCCATTATAGTCCCAAAAAAATTCGCATTAAAGGCACAGTTCAGCCTTTTGAATAATGGTTTTTAAGGCGTATTTCGGCCCTTTTATTTGAAAAAACTAACGTTAACTAGGAAAATCAATTAAGTATAATTCAAGATCAGCAAACTTAATGCTTTTAACATTTTAATTTTTAAAACATTTTTATTATTAGAACATTGAGTTTACTGATCTTGAATTATGCATAATTGATTTTCCTAGTTAGTTTTTCAATTAAAAGGACTGAAATGCGCCTTAAAAACCATCATTCAAAAGGCTGAACCACATGTGCCTTTAATACGTTTGATATTTTAAGTTATCGTCCTGACCGAGAAACAAACAAACAAAACAAACAAAACAAACAAACAAACAAACAAACACGGATCTAAACAGAACTTCCTGGCGGAGGTAAAAACAAACCTGCGCATCTTTGCTGGACAAATTCAAAGCATCGACGATGAAGGACAGAAAATGATCCAAAAATTGATCCATACCAAAGCGCATAATAAGCTTGGATAAAAACGATTGATGAAACAGCAGCACTGAAGCGTTGCCCATCCGGACATCGTAATGCTTCAACAATTGCTTCAAAAACGTCTTCTTGGTACGTTTTGGACCCAAACTCGCTGCTAGTGGATCAAACAAATGTAGAAACGCTTGCAATTGGGTTTTCTCGTCAGAAAATAGTGGACTTAGGTAGCTTATTAACAAGTCTAGTCCCTCCCCGTTTAAATCAGCCAACAAATCCGGCAAATGTTTAACGGCAATTTCGACCTGTCGCAAAGTGTAGGAAACATCATTGAGCGTGTTTGTTATAGCGAATTTTCTATTATTCTTTTCTGCAATTGCCAAAGTACTGGTTATAGGGTTGCCCAGGTGAAATTCGACAAGGAATTCGTAGAGATGTTTGAAGTACGACGGAAACGGAACGATGTTAACATGTTGTTGGAGCAAAAGTTCGGGAGTTAAAGGAGGAAATCCTTGACGTTTATGAAAACCACATCCTTCGTCGAATAACGTCTTTAAACCGTCACGCAGAATTCTACAAGAGGAATAATAAAATAAAGAATGTTTATTTTATTTTGTTTAATATGCCACTAATCCCAAATATTATTTGTGGTATGTGTAATATTTGGGTTGTTCTAAGAGAAAACGTGATATATCTTAATAACATTGATCATATTCTAAATTAATACATTTGATCAAATGTTTCACTGCCAAACATCAGATAAATCGTAGCAGAAAAAATTAAGTAAAATTACAATTCATCTGATGAAAACTTATTTCCCAAAGAAGATGTGAACAAATAGGAGAAGTTGTCCCAATTTGGAACCATCAAGATGGTGGCGAATTAGACGCAAGAAATCGACTCGCATGTTTATTGGCGCTTATGAAACGCTCAGACATAGATAAGAGTAGGGACAACAATAAAAGGGCCAAAGACACCCCCGGCAACGTCTTTGGCCATAGCGACGTCCTTGGCCGTACCACTAACAATCGCTATGGCCAAAGACGTTGCCTAGAAGCGTGGCATGTAGATAGGAGTAATCATGCTTTGAATAGGGATGACGGTTCTTATTTTCCAGAAGAATATATCCATCTTGTTGGCAGATGACGTCATCCTATGGTTATATAAGAAGCCACACGTTGATCACTCCTGAAGACACTAGACTGGAGTGTGGAAAAGTTGGGTCGTGAATGCAATTCGACTGGGCTTTAAATTAAACGAATTGCAAAATGGTTTGCCCTTGCAGATAAAATCTATCCAATGACTTCATCATATGGGGAAACTTTTACAAAGAAAAGGTTGATAAAGATTTTCTTTCCAACGAAGATATATTGCATTTCTTGATAGAAATACCCAAATATTACACATACCAAATATTACATTTGGTGTAGCCTGCGTGGGCTAAATTTGCTACCTTGATATACTATACCATACTATACTATACTATACTAACCCTGGGACGGCAAATTTGCCAGCACTGTAGACACGTTTCGCTGTAATGAATCTCTCTTTCTGCGACATATCAGAGGACAACAGTCTCATTTTTGCAGGTAAAAACATCTCCATCACCATGGTACATATATTTTGGATTTCTTTGTGACGAGCAGTTTCAGGAATTTCTGATCTTGGCACAACTACGACCTTAACGACGACAAATACATACTCCATAGTTGACAAGTGATAACAACATACGATTATTTCGCGTGTTAAAGATTTAAATTTATAATCCAGCCGAAGCTAATGTCTGCCACAGGAAGAGGTGTGGTGGGAAAAATTCCTATTCAATTACATTGATGATATGAATGGAGTTATAGGAGATCGTTGACAAATTCCTCAAAATGCCCGGAAATAGTGATGTCATCTGTCTAGGTTAGCCTTCAATAGTTATTGCATGGGATTTGAATTGTATCTAGGTCTGCAATAGATACGCTTATACCAGCTTATGAATAACTACAAGTGCAATAAATCGTTGCTGTTACTGTTCACTGTTGCTGTTTTCAGCCATTTTTAGCCTAATGGTTATTGCTGAAGGCAAGTATCCCTAATTTGTTTTAATTTATTTCTTACAACAGTGTAATATATTTGTGTGAGGATACGAATAAAAAATTGTTGTCGTTGTTTTTATTGTTGTTGTTGAATACGATGGTGCATGTTATTGCTTCTATATTATAATTGCTGTTTCTTGTAGTAATTTTCTTGTGGTTTCAATTTTTTATTGTTGTGTGCTGTGCTGTGCTGTGCTATTGTTTGTTCTTGTTATTTTTCTCATAATTGTTGTTGTTGTTGTTATTATTATTATTATTGTTGTTGTTGTTGCTGCTGTAGTCGTTGTTGTTTTTGGTGTTGTTGTCGTTGTTGTTGTTTTTGGTGGTGGTGTTGCTGTTTTTGGTGTTGTTGTTGTTGTTGTTGTTATTGTCGTTGTTGTTATTGTCGTTGTTGTTATTATTATTGTCGTTATTGTAGTTATTATTGTCGTTGTTATTGCCGTTGTTATTGTTGTTGCTGTTATTGTTATTGTTGTCGTTGCTGTTTTTGTTGTCGTTGCTGTTATCGTTGTCGTTGTTGCTGTTATCTTTGTCACTGTTGCTGTTATTGTCGTTGCTGTTGTCTTTGCTATTATTGTTGTCGTTGCTGTTATCGTTGTGGTTATTGCTGTTATCGTCGTCGTTGTTGTTGTTGTTGTTGCTGTGCCAGAAGCACTAAACACAACCAAAAAGGAAAAGTACTAACCTCGCCAAATGAATCCTTTGCGACTGAAAGATCGTTTTGCTTTGTTTGTAACTTAAACTTAGTGAGCAGCTCCACTTGATCAAACTCCTCGAGCGGCCCATACCCAATAGGTAGCGATATTGGCAAACTGTCGATGGCTGGCAAAATATCAGTGGTCGTCTCCACACTGTCCTTGAGTCTCAAGAAAGCAGGAATATAAGGACGTGGCCATTGCTTCAGTTTCTTGAAATTCAAGGAGGCGCCCAGTTCATCTTCACCCGTCTCGACTTTCGTATCAAGATCAACTTCGTCCCAAGAACTTGGCAGGACTTCATCGGATGCATATTCTGCCCGGCCTTCTTCGACATAACCAATCTGCCCTGATGAAAAATTTAGACTTTTAAGAGCTTAAGAGGAGATAATACAGTATAGTATACGATGTCGTTATGACCACATTCAAAATTTGTAATTTTTAGGAGGCCCCCTATAAAACGGTAAACAAACCTAAAAAGTATGTTTCATGCTTCATGCGTAAAATAATGCTAAAATAAAGAGACCTTAAATGGTACGTACAAGCGTAAATTATGTCTGAAGTTGGCAGAAGTTCATGTATATATATACAAAAAATAAACTGTGACGGTACATCTCTTCTGCATGGATGAGGTCGTTTCAAGACCTCGGCCACAGTGTTTCTCCATCAATCCGGACCTCGCAACCAGTAAATGTAACCTTTTTTTAATGAGATTAGCTTACTACGAGATCTGTATCACACTAGTAGGAGCTATGGACATTCAAGATTAAAAACGTCTAAATAAATACCTTCGTTGGAAACATCTCGCATTTCATGTTCCAAACCATCTTCCAGATTAACCATGGACGGGTACAGAACCATATCATGGTGGCGATGTTGCCTGGGATGCGGTTGTTCAAACAACTGCACCACACCATGACTGCTGATTGTCTGATGTTGATCGACTAAATGCAGATACACGTTCTTCGCTTTCTCCGCGGCAACACCCACCAACTTATAACCAAATGTCAAATCAATCCAGTCGTGTAGATGGTCACAGACGTAGTCGCTTTCCAGCGCCTTACGATGCAATCTGATAAACTCTTCCGAACTTTCGGCCCAACTTGGTATCCCCAGATCAGGAAGGTCAGCGTGAATTGATTTAAAAATTGTAGGGTCGGTATAGAACTCGGGTATACATTCATCTGGGGTCCATTCCTGAAGCCTCTGCATATTCGAAGGGTACTCGTTCGGCTCCCATTTCGCGCGAACGTGTTTCTGAAGCACGCTTTTAGGCGTGCAACGTGCTAAGTAGACATGATACGTGATCTCGGACAGGACACCCGAAACGTGATGTGGGGGATTTTCCGTGAGATCGTCGTCCGAGTCTGAAACATTCTTAAACGTGATGTCAAGTTGAAAATCACCTTTGTTGATACGAAACTTAGATTTGGTAAGATCACGGTGTTTTCCGTTCGGACTCGTGAAATCTGTGACCCACGGCAGGACAGGGTGGTAATTGGGCTCGCCAAGACGGCGTCCGGCGATCATGTTCAAAGCCATCAAATAATCAAAATTACTAATTTCTTTTTTAACCCACTTATCAATAAGTTCCGGTAGACCAAGCTTTTGAAAAGGAAATGAAACTTCATAAGCTCCGATCTCTTTTGAGTCTAAGTCAGATTTTATTTCAGAACCATGGACGCGTTCATCGTTTGTGTCAGATTTTTCTGTTACAAGATCACCGATGTTTGAACTGCTGGCACTTAAATGTAACCACAAACAGTTCCCCAGTAAAATATTTTGAAGGCTGTTTACCGTACAGTAATAGCCCAGCGCGTGGAACGTTTCAAACAATTTGAGTATTTGATATAATAAAAATAAAGGCTTTGTGATTGTGGACGATATGACGCTGGGACTAAACCATACCACGTCCTGTAAAGAATGAGGCGCAAACGGTTCCAAAACGAAATACGCGCTCTTGCTTTCGAGAATACCGTACACTGTTAGAAGCCCTGAAAGGCATTGTTCAGTTGAGAATTCGGTTGCTTCGTCTTTTAGAAGGTTTTTATCTGAATAGGAGTTTTCATCTGTAGCATCCGAACAGTTTTCCGCAGAAGAGTTGTTAAGCTTGATAATTTCCAAATTGAACAATTGCTTGGCAAAACGTTGTAAAATATTCTACAAAAAAAGATGTTGAGAACGTTCAAAAGTGTATCGCTATTTTGCTATGGAATTGAAGTTTGTGATTCTGTCTTACTAAACAATCATATAGAAAGTATGGCGATTTGATAATATTTTTTAGACAAGCTTGTCGATATGGGTATACGTGAAAAGAACTTAGATCACCCCTGACGAAGACAGTAGACTGGAGTGTCGAAACATTGGGTCCTGATTACATTTATAATTAATTATTTATATAAACCAGAGCAGCGACTAGCGAGCGAAAACATGATCAATTCCTATATTTCTATATCAGTAGTATTACCCCCCACATATAGCGAGGGAAGTAATTAGTATGCAAGGTATTAATATGGCGCCGGAAGTAATGAGTATGCAAGATATCAATATGGCGACGGAAGTGACATCATGGGTGTCTTGTCTATTACATAGCAAGAAAGGTGTTGTGTTTGTATTTATGTACGTTACACATTTCACATGCAAAGCTTGTGGGACAGATGAATTAAGCAAAACGGCATTGTACGATTCTAAACCAACAGTGAGATTTATAAATATTTTTTCCAGAATATGTGTTCTTCTAAAGTAAAAACAGAAAATTAAATACCCTCCAAACTCCAAAGACAAGTTTCGGATGTGACCGTTGTTGTTTTT